ATTGAAAAATGAACATTCAAGGGGGAGTGTTATGAAATTAATGATTGTTCATTTATTCAATTAATCAAGACTAATTTCTAGAATAGTAGATTTAGACATTGATGAGTATCTATTATGTACAATACTTCCCACTTGTATTTGTATCCATACCAAGGCTCTCCACTATAAATAGAGGTCTAATCCCTGCATTGTAATGACCATTAAGAATAAGAAGAAGAGTGAAGAGTTAATAGAGAGAAGAAATCAGAAATATATTATATCTATTCTCATAATCTCTGATTAGTTTTTCTCTCATTTTATAACATGGGGTAGTTAATTTGATTTTTTATTATTGTTTCATTTTATTTTATCCTTCCAGCACAGAGAGTAGAGAAGTTACCAACGTGCAAATAACGGTGCATTTAGTTGTTATTTTTTTTGCACTTTACAGTAACACTCAAAATTTATTATTACTATTATTATTATTATTATTATTATTATTATTATTTGTTTTCTTAGCGCCTCTTCTGAGTGTAGGGCTAAATTTGCATAAAGATGAAGTGATGGTGCTCTCAACACTCGAGCACATTTTTTTATTTTTTACAGTGACTTTGAGAATTATTGTAATTATTATTATTGTTGTTGTTGTTGTTTTTGTTGTTATTATTATTATACAAAGGAAAACACAATTTTATTCCCAGTTGTGTGACTTGCAATTTAAAAGTTTGTTTTTAATTTATTAATGGCAGTTGAGTAGATTTAAAATAAAATTATTTAAGTATTTATTAAACTCTAACTGGCCCAAAAGATTTTACACGGAATAATTCACTAAAAAACAGGCCCATATTTACAGGCTCATTAAAAAAACTAAGTCATTAATACTCCATATTGTAGAATCACAAACAATTTCGTATCATTCCGTATATGACACGGGTTAAAATACTAGTAATAGCAAAAAAATTTACTTCAAAATCCATTTCTTCCTTCGTGTATGTTGGAAATAAATACGACTGGTCCAATACTGTAAAATGTGGGAAGTTGTAGTTATTATTATTATTATTTGAAAAATAAAAACGTGCAAATAAAATATGGGAGTTGGAAGACACATAAGATATGAGAGGTAGGTAAGCATTTAGGGTTATATTGGGAACCAATGTCATGGGATCTGAGGACGCTCCAATGTCCCGTTCCGTTCGTAAAATTCACGGTTCCTACTCCCCTAACCCCCACCCCACCCTGACCGGAACACCCCCCACCCCTTCAATTGTACTCCACAAGTTGATTTTAACTTTGAAGTCAAATTTTGACTCCAAAGTCAAAATCAACTTGTGGGGTGCAATTGAATGAGGTGGGAGGGGGGTGTTCAGGTCAGGGTGGGTGAGGGGTTTACCGGGGGGTTATGAGGGGTACGAACCGTCAATTTTACCAACGGGGCACTGAAACTCTCCCGGATTATCTCATGACATTAGTTCCTAATGTCATAGGAACCAAGAGGAAACATTTATCCTATCCTACTATTTACAAGAGCAACAGGAAAACATTGCCGCCCAAATACTGTATCAACCGTCCTACCCACGTTTTCTCGCATAATTAGAGGCACACCCACGTTTTCTCGCATAATCAGAGGCAAGATCTCTCGGATAAGGCAGAAACCACCGTTCTTGCCACACAAATCCAAGGAGAGATACGCTTAACTCTCAACTGTAACTCATATTTGCTCACCATTTATCGTTCATGAGAGGTTTGTTGGGGATTCCTCCAAGTCCAACACCGGAGGGAGAAGAAAAAATGGACCAAAATATATAAATTCACCCAACCCCATTAGTATGAGGCCTTTTGGGAGGTGCCCAAAAACAAATCCGTGAGGGCTTGGCCCAGAGCGGACAATATCATACTAATGCGGGGTTGGGGTGAGGGCACGCGCAGTCCCAACATGTGGTATCGGAGCCCAGGTTCTTGCGAGCGGGAGTAGCGGACTGTGCAGTGTGGAAAAATCTCGGTGTGACGGTGTAACTAGGACCAAGACCAAGAAAGAGGATCTGCAGGTGGTGCCTTGTGTCCAAAGTCTTCTCGACGAGAGGAGGTCGGGCGGCGCGTCCCGTGAAGTTATAGTCACGGCGGTACAAGATGATTTGGCGGATCAAATGGTGTAGCCCAGCGAAGGAAAGATCTGCGGTTCGAGCCTTGCGTCGAAAGTCTTCCCGACAGGAGGTCGGGCGGCGTGTCCTGCAAAGAGTGTGCGGCGGTGCAAGATGGTTTGCAGATAAAAGGAAAAAATGGATTACCCCTGGAGGGGAGGTCGGAAATTGTGTGGTCCTTGGTTGAGGGGAGGTTTGTTGGGGATTCCTCCAAGTCCCACACTGGAGGGAGAAGAAAAAATGGATCAAAATATATAGGTTCACCCAACCCCATTAGTATGAGGCCTTTTGGGAGGTGTCCAAAAACAAATCCGTGAGGGCTTGGCCCAGAGCGGACAATATCATATTAATGCGGGGTTGGAGTGAGGGCACGCGCAGTCCCAACAAGGCCGACGATCTCAACGAAGAAGAAGCGGCAGGGAAAATGGCTATTTCAAGTGTTCTTCGATTGTTTTTCGCGTAAGCTAATTATATCTCATACTCAAGATTTGGCCATGCTTGCCCATGGACTTCACGGCTAAGGTTTATAATCATCATCAGAGTCACTTCTAACAATCTCTGATGAAAGTTGGATTTTAATTTTGGGTGCAATCTTAACACTATAGTTTTGATCTTCAATCGGTGTTATAAGACAATTTAAAGGGCAGTGAGATTAAGGTATGATTGTTGTTTATTTTAATCCCAATTCTTCATCACCTTCGTGATTAGAGAATAAAATTCTCTTTCAATCTGCTTGTGAGCACAATGTCCCAACTATATACAAAACTAGGGTTTTTTTTGGGAGGAACCGTTTCACCGGTCTTCTTTTACACTTTTTTGTAAGTTTTAAGCACATCCCATATTAAAAACTGCAGGTCCACAATCTCCCACTAATTAATACTCTGTATATCTACTCTATTGCAAACTTCATCCAAATTCAAGGAAGACAGTACGCTTACGATCTCCGGCCAAAGAAAAAGACACCAACGAGCTCTGATGAAGAAGACTCTTAGGATCTAAACGATGGAGATGACAATGACCTCAACGATTGTTCATGCTACCTTCGGTGAGTTTTCAGTTACTTCTTTTCTAACCTTGTTCCGATTCATTTAGGCAGTGATTGGCAGCTAGCAATTCATTTCAATTCATGCATTTCAATTTCAAAATTTGAAATCTTGAATTTCAAATGACAAGGGGGTGCATGAATTTGAAATTAAGCTTTGTTATGAATGAGAAAAATTTGTCTCAAATCCAAATTCAAAATTTTTAAGTTTCCCAAACATGTAATTTGAGCCAAATCCGGATTTGAAATCCAAATCCATATTCCCAAACATACCATTAATTATTTTCAATCTTATAACACTAAGCTTTTGCTTTTCAAAAACAAGCCCTTTTTTTATTATTCCTATTTGTTATGGTAACTCTACATTCATGTTTTTGTTTACTCCTTGTAATATTTATTCTAAATTCAAGGAGAAAATCATGACTAAGGGTGGACACGATACGGTTACAGGCCGGTTCCGGTACCGCCACCCATGGGTACCGGTCCGGTTCCCGGACCGGCGGTTCCGGTTCCGGTTCCGGTTCCCGGACCGGCAGTTCCGGTACCAGAACGGCCGGTTTCGGCCCCCCCCCTATTTTTTTCTTTTTTTTAAATTTTTAAAGTATAAAATTTTAAATTTGCAATTGTTAAAAGAAAGAATGAAATAAAAAATCTAAAAATGTAGTTGTTATTTAAATACTGTAAAATGAGTAATACAAGAATTGAAGAAAACCTACATTTAATATCCTGACGGTTCAAAAAAAGCAACGAGGTAAAGAACCGTAAAGAAACCCTCGAAATCTTCATCCTCGAATAAACTATCAAGAGTGGGGAGATTCGCGTCTCCTCTACCAGAAATTTACTGGTCAAAATCTTCATCCGTCATACTGTCTCCGATGAATTGATCGGGGATAGTAGGAAAGGAAGAGACAGAGTATCTTCCTCGAGAACTGCGTGAGGTCGAACCGTCGGATGTGGCTTTAGCTTTGCCTCTCCTCAAACTTCGGTTCACAACGCCCATATCCACCGACCTTCTACCGGACTCTCTCGACATTTTAATACGGAGTATATATTTTTTTATAAAAAAGGACTATATTAAAATATTTATAATATTAAATATATATATATATATGGAATTTCGAAATTATAATATTATTTATAACAAATTAATATATGAGAATATAATTATATATTTATATGATTATATATTTATATGAATAATGAATGTATAACTAAAAATTTAATATTATATATTTATATGAGTATATATTTATATATTATATAATATGTTAATATATATTTATATTATTATATAAATATAAAATGTATAAAAGATAATATGAATTGAGAAATAAGATTTAAGAGAATTAGAGAGGATTAAGAGGAAATGAAAATGGTGTGATATTTTTTTAAAAAATGGTGTATTTATAGTGTAGATTGCGCTCTCCCCCTCCCCTAACCCCCCAACCCCCCTCCCCTCAACGGCATTATAGCCGTTTCAGGGGACCCCCTCCCAGGCTCCCACTAATTTTTTTTGCAGGTTTGTACTTTGGACAGCAGGAAAAGCAAAAAAAAAAGCATGGCGGTACCGGAACCGGTACCGGTACCGCCGGTGCGGAAATAATGGCACCGGAACCGGTACCGAGTGGGGCGGTACCGGTACGGTTCCCGGAACCGGGTAACGGGTTTGTCGACGGTGACGGTGGCGGGTACCGGCGCCGGTAACGATACCGAACCGGTACCGTGTCCACCCCTAATCATGACGGTTCCTCAACAGTAGCAAAACTTTCACTAATCACTCATAACCAAAAGGATACAACAAGTTCTCCTCTCTAAAAAACACTAGAAACAAATACAATCATCAAAGAACACCCTTGGAACAACAACAATCAATAATTCACCAAAAATAGAGTAAAACTCCCAATAGCACAGGTGCAAAGAAGTTGCAGAACAACATTCCAAGCATCAAAATGAGAAATTGAGTGTTGAATTTGAAGAGGATATTGTGAGGAAGAAGATGCTAAAATTTGAGCACAATAGTTTGTGGCACTTTCCTATTTAGAAAGTGACGTACTCCAAGAACTCTGGGTCATTTCTTAGTCGGAGCAATGTGTTGGGGTGAAGGCAGAGCTCTATCTCCACACTCCCTTCTTCCCGTCCCGCAAAGAGAGTGGTCTTCCCGTCATGCTTATTTCCCCCGCCGCTCCTCACCGCAACCGGCCGTCCCCAACCAAAATCCTGGCCGTACACGTCGAACCTCGGAGAGCTGCTGATGGCCAGGACGTTGGCCGGTAACCCCTTCTCCCCGACAAAATTGGGAGATTTTGCCCAACCCACATACTGATTCATCATTTCTTGTTCTGTATACTTCTGGACCCCTCTCTTCATCTGCAACGCCGCCCAGCCCAGTCCTTCCCCCAACACCTCCCCTGCTTTCGCCGTCACCGTCTCAAAGACCACCGCGTTTCCCCAATACCCTTCTGGAAGATTCATTCTTTGCCGGGCACCGACGATGATCATGATGTGAACTTCTTCTTGGGCTTCGAGGTTTCGGGCTCGAGTCACCGATCGCCAGAGATGAGCCATGTATGACATGAGGGAGGAGATGATTGGGGCGGCGGTGGTTGTAACCATTACTTCAGAGTTTGCTTTTTCTTTTAGCTTGGCGATGTTTTCTTTGCTCAGCCGGAACATCGTCTCTGTTCTCGGAGAGGATAGTGAGAAGATTTCCGACTGGAATTCTTTGCGGGGCGGCAGAGGAATCGGGCAGGGAATGCTGCCCGAAAACCAGCGTTTGAGGGAAGGAGGTTTTGAGATCTGGGGGCATCCGCGGCGGGATATTTCCGACCAAGAACGGAAGAAGTTCCAGAAGGAGGTGCCGTCGGCGAGGGCGTGGTTTAAAGTGCAGGCGATGAAGTAGCCGTCGTGAAGCTCCGTCACTTGCACACCCATCAGAGGCTTGGCGATTCCGTCGGCGTTTAGGACTCCGTTGAGGGGAAAGAAAGGTCGGAGGATCTGGGAGACGTCGGGGTTGGTCGGATCGAGAATCGCGGCGACGGTGACGCCGGCGGCCTTGGCTTGGACGAACTCCACGCCGGCGTTATTGCAATCCACGTGAAGGGTAGATGTGTGATTCTCCTCGTCTGTCTCCGCGGCAAAGCGGCCGGCGGCGGGAGGGTAGAAAGACAGGGCGGAGGACAGAGAGGTTTTCAAGTGGTGAATCAATTTGGGGGTGGAGCTGAAGAGGCGGCTCTGTTCTTCTTCTTGTTGTTGAGGATTGGGTTTGTGGAAGAGAAGGCCTTTTTGGATGGTGGCGACTTGGAGGAACTGCAAGTCCCACGGGGTTAAGTCCATTCTTGAGACACCAGATCTTTCCCCGCTTGCAGGAGAGGGAGCTCCAACTAAGCTCGTGGAGATTACCACAACTTCTGCCATTAACGGTTGAAATTCTAACGTTCTTGCTTCAAGAACCCTTTGCCAATGCTATTTCTACACCAGAGACCAGACCCAGTGTGCTGGGTGCCCAAATGTGGTGTCCGTCAATGATTTTTATCATGTGGCCAAGTCCCATCTTTTAAAATACAATCGTACTACACCTACACTTAAAAATATGCTCCAAAGTTACTCTAAAATATACACTAACATTTCATAGTTCACACTGACACAAAATGTTGTTTTGTTAACAAAAATTTGTTCTAACATTTTGTGTCTGTATGAATTATCATCCTTGTATTACACTGGCACAAAATGAAGGTGCATACCAATGATGTATAAATTGAGGTACAAATCTTGGGGTAAAAATACCGTAATCCTTTATAAAGGATGAGCCCATTACCCACGGTCCTCTCAGATCCGGTTAGATGGTCATTGAGAGAAAATAAATTAGACTTTAATCACAGATTGATCGCGGAGAGTGGAGCTTGTACCTAGTATTTGCAGAGGTCTCATGCTCTGCATAATTTCATCCCAGCGTAATTGTCAGAAATTGAACTGGACTCTGATCTATTATTAGGCTCTCTCTCTTTACCAACAACACAAAGCCACCAACCCATCTTTTAAGTTTTGGGATGGTAACGTCAATGATTTTTATCACTTTACCAATTACTCTAAAAACGATACTACCTTCGTCCCGCTATATTCGTCCAGTTTTGACTTTTGGAACTGTTCATCTAAGCACTTTGACTCATCAAATTCTCTCAATGTGTAAGCCTAAATATAGTCATGTGTGATCTTGTTTGATTTGTCTTAACATATAGATTATTAATATATAATTTCTATAATTTTTTAATATACAAATTATAAGATAAAATGGATTAAAGAAGTGTATTGGATGGTGTGCAAAAATGAAAGTGGACAAATATAGTGGGACGGAGGGAGTATATTTTTTTCACACTCTTTCTACTTTACGAATTACTCTAAAAACCAAGTTTAGGCACTCTCTCTCTTTACCAATGGCACTCTCTCATTTTCTTCAAACTCTTTCTACTCATCAACCAATTAATCTAAAAACGATACGGAGTATATTTTTAATGTCATTATTATTATTATTATTATTATTATTATTGTTATTGTTGTTGTTATTATTATTATTATTATTATTAGAACTGTTATGTTCATAACTATAGTTTATAAATTATACTACCTCCGTTCTCAAAAATTCTTCATCTTTCATTTTTTTACTTTCAACAAAACACTTCCACTTTCTATTAAAAAACCACGTTTACCCTTACTTTTTCTTACCCTACCTATGACATCATACTTTTTCTCTAATACTCAATCCATCACATCTTACTTTTACCCATTACATCAAGGGCAAAATTGGAAGTCAACTACAATTTAACACTTCCTTATTTTTACACAAAGTCAAAATAGGAACACTTTAATAGAACGGATGGAATACTTTTTTCATCTTACTATTTTTACGATTCACATTCATTATTTCTTCTTCAACTTTTTAATATGAATAAGATAATTTTTTGTATATTAATCTACATGATAAAACAGGAAAAGATCAATATTTTATACTATATTAAAAAATTATGAATAAAATATTTACATATAATGTTTTATTAATCTAACTTTATATAAGACCCCTCACCTTTCCCTTTATTACTCAATTTTTTTTCTAATTTTATTAAAAAAAATTAAAAATCAAAATGGTTTAGAGAAAAAGAATAAAATATGAGTAAAACATAAAAAATGTGATTTTTTTTTATGTCTTTACTCCAAAAATAGGAGTTACAATGAAAATAAAATGTCAATCATGAAAGAAAGAATAGTTTGATTAGATTATGTGACATGTCTAATATTTAAAACAAAATCTTGTAGTATATAAAGTATAATTACAAATATATTGTTTATAATATATACTGCATAAATAAATTAAGATGCAATGTAACCACAATAAGTTTTTAAAATTTAACATTTTCATATTTATGCAAACTTTATACTATAACTATTTTAATTTGTTTTTGCAAAAATAGTTTTCTTATGTTTGAAAAATAACAAAAAAAAATTTTAATCTTAAAAGCATTTAGTAGTAGTAGTAGCAGCATAAAAATGAGAGTAATATAAAAATAAACTAAAATAAAATTTTTCAAAGATTTTTAGGTTTTTCAATTTTTTGAAGTTTTTCCAGTTCCTTCCCGTTTTTTCCAGTTCCTACCAGTTTCTTCCATTTTCTTCCATTTTTTTCTAGTTTTTTCTAGTTCTTCTAGTTTTTTCTAGTTTCTTCCAACATCCAGCTTTTTTCAGTCTTAAAGAACAGGCTCACAGTGTGTCCAAGTGTGGTGTACGTCAATAATTTTATCATGTGGCCAAGTCCCATCTTTTAAAAAGGAATGAGCCCTAATTTTCCAAGGATTCCCTGAGATCCAGCGGGATGGTCATTGAGATGAAATAAATTAGACTTTAATCGTGGATTGGTGGTCGACAGTAGAGCCTGCTCCTGATACTTGTAGAGATTCTATGCTTAGTATAATTATCTCCAAATGCCGTTGGCAGAAATCGAATTCGAGTCTGCTCAAGACATTGTCTTTGCCAACAACACAACCCCACCGGCCCATCTTTTACGTTTTGGGGTGCGAACATCAATGATTTGGATAAAGCTATTTGTACCCCAAGGATTTATACCCCATTTTGTACACCGTAAGGATGCACTAACATTTTGTGTTGGTGTAATGCTAATTTTTACTAATCATTTCATAAAATAATATAGTCTTGTCACCTCTAGTTTTGTAGAACTTTTCATGTAGTTTATTACTATATAAATTTTATTTTAAAATTTTACTTCTATAATCAATTAAATTGAATTGAAAATAAAGTCGATCAAGCTTCATAACGCGTAATGGGAAGATCATACATGGAGGAGAGTATATTGTTTGACGAATGTGTTTGTGCCATGCATGGGCATGGTGTTTTGTTGTTTATGTTCAAGAATTCCCTTACACGGTTGATCTACAAAGTCTCACATCGTCATCTACAAAGTGCTGATCCAACCTAAAAAGTCAATTTTAATTAATTGGCAATTAACCGCTGTTTCTCCGATCGAACATATGCTCCTCCGATCCATCATACCAGATTTAGCAATCGCGCTATTTCTCCGAAGGTGATCTGTGTCTGTCTAATTTCATCAATTTTTATTGACATAAACACGCAAATTTACAAACCATCATAAATATATGTTAACATTTTCAATTAGGGTTAGTAATTTGATTTTTTAATTATTTAGATTAATTTGAAAACATTTAAACATCTTCTCAAATGAACACTAAGCTAAATATTGGTTAAGTTAAATTGATTTATTAAGTAATACTCCCTCCGTCCCGGAAAACATGGGAGTTTTGATTTTGAAGAGGGATTTATGGGGAGTGTATTTTGGTATTGAATTTCCAAAAATGTCTTTTGATATAATGGGTAAAGTATGATTTGATGGATAAATTATTAGTAAAAATGTATGATGTGATAGGTAGGGTATGAAAAAGTAAGGGGTAAAAGTGACTTTTTTATAGAAATGAGAAGTGTTTTTTGGAACGGATGAAAAAAGAAAAGAGAAAGATTTTCAGGGACGGAGAGAGTATACGTTTATGCAGAATGTATATTTATGAGGAATACAAAACACATTTAATATAATTAAGGTTAGTTATTACATGAACCTAAAGTTGATGATAGACCTTCATACGGAGTATACGCTAAATAAGTATTTTAAAGTGTTGGAATAAATATTTTTAAAATAAAAAAGAAATGTGAAAAAATCAATATAGATCTTAAGTCCACCATAGAATCGTCCATAAATTAAAATAAATTCGGATGTACAACTAAAATGAAATAAAGAAAAGAAGAACAATGATAGATTAATGAACTAATTTGAAATTCGAAGCTCTATGTTTATTTGGAATTATTTCTATCCTTTTTCTTTTCCTCTTATTTATTCACTCCCCATCATCATTCATCAAAGAAGAAAGAAAGAGTACTACTAATTAAAACCAACCATACACTTCCTTCATATCTTGATTTCTTCCACCACTTCCTACCACCTCCGCCGGCACCCCGCGGTGGCCATGGGCTTCGACGAGGACACCGGTTCGCCGCTCTCTCAACGCAAATCCCCAGTTGATCTCAACACCAAGATCATGATCGCCGCCATAATCTCAGTAACGACAGTCATCTTCGTCCTCACTCTCCTTCACCTCTACGCAAGAAGCGTCGTCTTAAGTCGTCAGGACCACCGGCGACGCACGGCGATCCTACGACTATTGCTCGCTTCTGCTGCCTCTAGCCCGACGCCGAAAATGGGGCCACACCCCTCCGTTGTAGCGGCGCTTCCGGCCTCCACTTTCACGACGGCGGAGGGGAACGAAACCGTTATAGAGTGTTCGGTTTGTTTGAGCGTAGTGCAGGAGGGGGAGACCGTAAGAACGCTGCCAAATTGCCACCACACTTTTCATGCAGAGTGTATAGACAAATGGTTCGGGGGTCGGTCGTCATGCCCCATTTGTCGTGCGGAGGCCGCGCCACGACACCCCATGCTGCTAACCCCCGAGCCACGAGAGTCAGCAGTCGGGGCGGGCGCGGAGCCGTCTCCCGCGGAGGGGATATGGACGAAAGTTAGTAGTGGGTCTTCTATGTGGAGCTATCCGTTGAGTTCCTTTAGGAAGATGCTAGGTAGTAGAGAAAGAGTATCATGTAGACTAGTGCAACCCTGTGAGGGAGAATTTGTACAAGATCTTGAGAGACAATAATTTGTGAGAGACTAATAATTTGTGAGGGAGAAGTTTGTTTTTGTAAAACAAATTATACTTCAGAAATTATTTTTCTTTTCTGTGTTTGGCCACAAATTTGAAAACCTTTTTTTTTCATTGGGCAAATCTTCAAACACCTCGTTGGCATTCAACTACAAATATGATTTTCTTTCACTTTTTCAACAAAAACATCATTGAATAAGAAGCAAATTAAATCCCAGAGAAGCTAAATCAGAAAAGAAAATAAAAATTATGCCTTTAGAAAGAAATTTGGGTTGCTAAAATTACGGAATGTCCAAGTGATGGATCTCATTGGAATCGCTACTGTGAGAGAGTTAAGAAGATTGACCCGGATGGTTTCTCACGCACAGGTACACCGCTTGGAGTCCTGGGTACCTTTGGTACCCCCGAATAGCCTCTTGTGGCCATGTGATGCGCTAGGTGTGGGTCGGGTATTCGGCCCAACTTTCTCAGCTTTCAAACATTTGTAGCCATATATCAACGTCCTTTTCAGCTTTCGCCATAAGATCATAGGCCTCTGATCAGGGTGCAATCTCTTCCTAAATTCTTCGATCTGGTCCCCCGGTGTGGATACCGACGTAGGTGATTAAACGTAACCTTTGACGTAGCTCAGCGGGGTTCATGTCCCCCTGTTTCAATTCCACCATTTGTACACTCCCTTACGGAGCAGTTGGTTCTCGCCACTGTCAATGTGTTTCCACCATTTGTACACTCCCTTACGGAGCAGTTGAGTCGCGAGTTTAGGGTGATTCGTTACCGGAACATTCAGGTCTTTCAGCACCTTGGCGACCTGGTCAGTCCAGTTTAATGCTACTTGGGCTCTACGATTCAATCCCCGAGGAACTCTTCGGATCCTTTGTCTTTATTAGTGTTTTGAAGGTGATCTAACGAGGTTGTGATGGAGGAGGTTGCTAAACATCAGTGCATTTGCCATCTGCTGTAGGAACAATGCCATGAAGGCGGGTATAACAGCGTTCGACTCGTTTCCGTTGTTCTGATTACCTAACATGTTCAAGGGAATATTCTGTTGTACGATATTTTGTTGGGGAACGAAGCTAGATCGATTCTGAGTGGGCATCGATATGCTTGTCGTTGTTGTGTTGTGTGTTACTTAAACATAACATTGTATAAATAATGAAATCCAACGAAGGAACCATGTCTTGATAATATATACTCCCTCCGTCCTACAAAACCTTTTTCATTTCTTTTTTCATTTATCCTAAAAAAAAATTCTCATTTCAAACTTACCTAGCTCTCACATCACACTTTTTTCACTACTAGTCTACCTATCACATCCAAGGACATTTTTGAAAAGTCGACAGAAAAATATATTCATCTTACATATCTTAAAATTTGAAACAAGAAAGTAGGACGGATGGAGTATTTATTACTCCATCCGTCCTAAAATGTTCTTCTCACTCACTTTTTACCCGGTCAAACTTTAATCACTTTCTTTACATATTTTCATTAGGTATTTGATAAAATAATATAGTCTTTGTCACCACTTGTTTTGTAGAACTTTTGATGTAGTTTTTAAATATATAAATTTTATTTTTTTAATTTTACACCTACAATCAAATAAATTGAATTGAAAATAAAGTTGGTCAAACCTCATAAAATGAATCGGGAAGAACATTATAGGAGGGAGGGAGTAGTTTCTAGTACTTGCTTATATTCACAATTGTTTAGTACAAATCTAGAGGAGATTTTTCCTAATCCTCAATATTTCCTCAAATAGCATGCAGTATCCTTACCGTCAACGGATGTGCGCCCGACTTGACAGAAAATCAGCGACGATGACTAAGAGCACTAGCAACGACAAACGGACGTATTCGTGCAAGTAATGGCAAGCCGACCAGGGTTTAGTGCTCCATGCATGGCTCTGATACCACATGAAACTTTAAAATTTATGCACAACGGATTTGGGCTTTTTATTACCCGAATCACAAATACACAAGTACTCCCTCCGTCCTATAATGTTTTTCCGTTTCTGTTTACGATGTTTGACCAATTTTATTTTCAATTCAATTTATTTGATTGTAGGTGTAAAATTTAAAAATAAAATTTATCTATTTAAAAATTACATCAAAAGTTTTACAAAACAAGTGATGACAAGACTATATTATTTTATCAAATACCTAATGAAAATAGGTAAAGAAACTGATTAAAGTTTGACTGTGATTAAAGTAACTGGGAAGAATATTCCAGGACGGAGAGAGTATAAGATTGCAACTATACTAGACCCTAAACTTGACACATTAACGACACGTAGCGTCTTAGCCTATTTACAAAATAAATACCGGCTAACCATTGCTTTGTCGTATGGGGCATTAATGCATACTCCCTCCGTTCTCAAAAAAAGTTTCTATTTTGAAAAAGTGGAAAAATAAGGAAGTGTTAAATTGTAGTTGACTTCCAATTTTGCCCTTGATGTGATAGGTAGATTGTTAGAGAAAAAGTATGATATGATAGGTAGGGTATGAAAAAGTAAGGGTAAAAGTGGTTTTTTAATAGAAAGTGGAAGTGTTTTGTTGGAAGTGAAAAAATAAAAGAGGAAGTGTTTTAAAAAACGGAGGGAGTATATTTTAGGGTGAATGTAAATAAAACATCTTTTATGCTCCGTATTCATTAAAGAATTTCATTGTACTCCGTATAAATAAGGTTACATTTTGTGACATAACAACAAGAAAAGAATGTGAATACCATCGAGAACATAAGTGAAGGAAAGTAATCCAAAGTATACACATGCACCACAATGTTAAACGTTTACAAAAATTCGTTTGCACAATACCCTATGTGTAGTGGGATTGCATTGAACACTTGACAAATTGTATGAACCAACTCCCACTTCCTTATTAGACGATCATAAGTACAAAGAGAATTGGGAATGACAGGACTACAGTGACCCAACCTCGGACGTAATTTCCCAATCTTACCGAAGAGTTTATATAATCGAAACCGGCACTGCGCCTCGGTGACGGTCCAAAAGCCATGAATTGGGTGCCATTAGCAGCGCTGCATGCATGCACACGTACGTACACAATGAGCATAAATAAATCAGCAATAATTACTCATACTAAATCAAATTCAATATGTGTTAATTAGTTGTTGTGTAGAGAGGTTTGCGTTTATTAAAGAGTTGGACTTGCTTACCTTGGAAATCGGCACTCCACAATGCCTGCAAAAATTCAATATCCAACAAGTTTTAAGTGGGGACATATGAAGAAGAAATATGAACTGAATAATAACAACAAGAAACAAGTAGAATCTCACGGGTGCATTTGCAGAGTAAATATATGAAAACCTTACTCCTACCTAGCTAGGAAAGTTGTTTCAAGACAAAATCTCGAATAAAGCAAAAACCTAGAGAATAATGACTTGCCCTAATATTTGACCTCCAAACGTTTCTATATGTAGAAATGATACTGTGGGATTTATAAGAGCTAAATGCGTGGTTTAATCACCCCCCCACACACGCACACACTTTATGTCTATATACTTGCCTCACTTATAGCTTACAGTTACCACTGCAAACTTTTGGCACCTTTTTATTGGTGCATCGATACTCCTTCTCATATTCCTCAACAATCTCAATCTCTACATGGCATCTTGTTGTCCTCCAGCGCAACTCCCGCCTTATTATATACTCCCTCCCTCTAAAAAAACACTTCCTCCTTCATTTTTTCTACTTCTAACAAAATACTTCAACTTTCTATTAAAATAACGCTTTTACTCATATTTTTTCTTACCCAACCTATTACATCATATTTTTCTCTAATAATCTATCGATCATATCAAAAATAAAATTGGAAGTCAACTACTTGGTCAATATTTAACACCTTTTTATTTTACCACTTGGTCAAAAGTGGAACTCTTTTCAAGAATGGAGGGAGTACTATTTCAATCGTCTTAGAGTATTTGTTTAGTTTGATATTTTTAACTTAAATTAGACAGAATTAAATCATTAATTAAATAAAAATTGCATTGGATAATAGTATAAAAATGATTTGATTTGATTAGATTTATCTTGCAGAAAATATGAAAAATTCATTTACCTGTATTGATATGCCATACAAATATAGTACACTTGTTGATAAAAGTTTGTTTAGTTTGATTTGAAACGATCAAACTAGACAAATATGTTAGAGTATATAAAATTCAATAGCATATTGAGTTTAAGTTCCAGTTAGACTGTGGTATATACGGAAAGCGACCCGGAGGTGGTGACTGGCCGTCGCGCCCCCTGCGCCGTGCCAAAGTGGTCATGACCCCTCGGAGGTGACATGCATCATCGCTTACTATCCTACAAAGGTTTCCGTTCCAACAACCATATTACCGTTTCAAATTTATTTATTTATTTTAGAATTCGACCGTTAGAATTTTCAAAAAAAAACTTATAAGTTCTCACTTCTTCACTCACCTCTCCCCACCACGCTCTAATCTATTTTTTTACCAAAAGAAAAGTTCTTTTATATTTTAAGTAAACTTTGCACTCAATAGAACTAAAACCTAAGTCATTTCTCATTGTAGGATTTAAACTTTTTTATTCCCTAAATAGTACTCCCTCCGTCCCGTGAAACATTTCCCCTTTCTTTTTTTATCCGTCCCACAAAACACTTCTCATTTCTATTAAAAAGTCACTTTTACCCCTTACTTTTTCATACCCTAACTATCACATCATACCTTTTTACTAATAATCTATCCATCAAATTATACTTTTACCCATCACATCAAAAGACATTTTTGGAAATTCAATAGCAAAATACACTCCCCTTAAATCTCTCTTCAAAATCAAAAACTTCCATGTTTCACGGGACGGAGGGAGTACTTAATAATGTCTAGTAGTGGGAGAAATAATATCTAATGATGGTAGACATTTACTTGAATAATGACTAATGGATAATGACCAATGGTTCTACATTGGGAAATAAAAATATATGATCATATATTGAGAAAGTCATTATGTTTTAGTTCTATTTAAGTAAATTCCTCATATTTTAAAGGGAAATGCCTTGGGAAGAAGAAATAAAACTTTCAATTATTTAGAAAAAGAACACAAGTAGAATACTCTTTATGAACTTATAAAAGTAGTTCAAAAAATAAATAAATAAAAAATTGTTTATGTTTTATCTAAAAATTAATAAGAATACTTATACGTGAACAATTATTATTTTTTCAAACAAAAATAGAGAAAAAACTTATTGTCATCAATATATAAAGATTAAGAAATATTTATTAATTACACATATATATTAAAATTAATTTTTTCTACTTTTTCTTCTTCCAATCAACTAAATATAAGTCTGAAGTATTACATAGAAATTACAGAGTACCCCGGAGAATTATATAAGAACTCATTTCCTAGCCTTTACTTTATTAAGTCATGAGTATAGCCTTACTATTTTAATATTTATTAGATATTCATTTTTTACCCTTCATATTAATAAAAAGTAATACAAATAGAAAATAGAAAGTGTGACATTGCTTACTACACACACTGGGTCTAGAAAAACTATATGACATGCATACTTTGGGATTGCCAGCAGGCCATTTAATGACATAAACATTATAGATCAGTCTCCAATTTTTTATGATGTTTTTTTGGCGTTGCTCCTAGATCTTCTTTTTATGCTAATGATACGAATTTCAAGTATATAAGCAATCGTGTACCGAAAAATGCCATATGGTGAGAAACCCGTGCGAGATTTGGAAGAAAGAAAAAAATTCGGACTCCTATGTATGCATGCATTATTTTGCATAACATGATCTTGGCAATGCCACATGTCATGGTCACGCCCACCACCCCCAACTATACCACATACTCCTAGTTTTTTAAAAGCTTGGAACTATTACTCTCTAAAATTTAGTTACCTGTGTCTAGATTGAGCAATGCTAGGGGTACACCAAAGGTGTACTCCATTTGTCCCCTACACTTCTCTCTACCACTCAATTTTATTTTATTTTTATTTATATAAATTTTTTAGTCTCTTGCCTTTTTTTGTGGTTATGGAGGGGGTGGTGGACAAATGGGGTACACCATTTGGTGTACTTCTAGCATTTTTCGTCTAGATTATATTTAATCCATCCGTTCATAAAAAGATTTGCCAATTTGACTAAGATACATTTTGTTTTGGACCTAAACTGAGGACCTTTTATTTAATTTATTCTTAAATTAAATAGATGTCACAAGAAAAACTAGAGGTGAGTCAAAATAAATCACTATATTGAATCACTCTATTAAATTAATAAATCGCCATTAAAATTAAAATTTCTCTACTTTTCTTACTAAGATACATTTTATTAAAGTAAAATTTAGTATAGATGTTTTGTGGTGACAAACACAAAGAAACATGTAAATTTTGACATATCCTTTTGCTATGGTCAAAAAGCAAATAATTCGACATCATTTGGGGATGGAAAAAATGAACAAAGAAGTCTTTATATATGCATTTTCTGTCTCTGAGTATTTGCCTAATTTTAACTTTCTGCAATCAATTAATTTCTACTTTTGACTTGGAATTTCATAAAATTTATAAAGTATATTGATTACATAATATAATATTTTGAAAATATGATATAAAAAACCTAATAATATTATTTTTGTATCAGAATCTAGTATCAGTTTTATTTAATTAGTCAAAATTCATCAATTTTGACTGCAAAGAGTCCAAACTGAAAAAATACCCAGGGATGAAAATAATATTCCGTAGCATTCTATATTAGTTTCAATTTTCAAAATTTTATATATTTTTCAAAAAATATATATAATAATTTAATAACAATTTTTAATTCGGGATGGATAAGAAAAGAAAGAAAAATGATTATTTTGGAACAGAGGAGTATATATTATAAAAATATGACTTTTCAAAACATATTCTAAAATAAATTTATTGATATTAAATCTTTATTACTCCCTCCGTCCCAAAAAGATTTACACGTTTCAAAAAAATTGTATCCCACAATCCCTTACCCATTTCTATTAAAAAACCACTTTTACCCCTTACTTTTTCCAACCCTACCTATCATATCATACCTTTTTCCTAATAATCTACACATCACATCCTACTTTTACCCATCACATCAAGGGTATTTTTGGAAAGTCAACACAAAATTATCTCTCCCTTAATTTCAACTTTAGTCAAAATGGATAACATTTTATGGGACGGATGGAGTATAACTTAATGTACAAGAGTACTTTAACATAATATATAGTCAAAATTTAAAAATATCGACCAACAATATCAAAATAGAAAAAAGATACCGGAAATGGAGCATAAGGAGTCGTTTGATGAATGCAGAAGATTTCAGTACTCATATCTTCGGATACACAAATTATATCCTACATCGGGCTGTACGGGAAGAATCATACAGCTAGCGAAAATTTACAGAGAAGCGCGACATGCGACGAGAAACAAAGAGAGGGATGATGGCGAACCCTAAGTGCTTCCATAGGAGAACGAAGGAGCACGTCGATTGCAAACCCTAGCTGCGTCAGTCGGAGAACGAAGGAAGCACAGAGGAATCCCTAACCGGGGCTGCATCGATCGTGGAAGAAGATGTCTCGTCGAGATTTGCAGTAGTGACAGCGTAGCTAGATACTATGCAAACGATGAAGATGACGATGAAGATGACTATGGTAATTGGGAGTACTGTAAATTTAATTAGACTATTGGACTATATTTTTCAAATCTAAAAGAAAATGACTGGTACATTACTAGAGAATGAACACTACGTTATTTGAGAATGAGCACTACTTTGTTTCAGAATGAACGCTTTGTTATTTGTAAATGAATATTACTCCCTCCGTTTCAATAAACCATTTATATTTCGGCTTTTAGCCAAAAAAAAAGGAATCTATACTTATAATAGGTAAAAGTAAGATGTGATTGATACATTATTAGTGAAAAAGTGTGATGTGATAGGTAGGGTAAGAAAAAATATGAGTAAAAGTGGTTTTTTAATAAAAAAAATGAAAGTGTTTTGGGGAAAGAGAAAAATTAAAAGAAGAAGTGTTTTAAGAAGTGAAGGGGGTAAAATAGTAATGAACACTGCGTTGATTCGAAATGAACAATGCACTATTTATAAATATATACTCTTTTACTTCAAAATGAACACCTCTGCTTTGTGTGAAAATCAATACCTCTCTACTCTAAAATGAGTACTACCCGGCTGGCCGGCTGTACCTTAATTCTGGTAGAGACTCCTCTAGATATCAATTTTTTGGTATATGTTTGGTGAAGCAAAAATAAAATCCGGAATTCATATCTCAATATATCACAATTCACAACCTTTCTAAATGAAAATGTTTGGGTATCTCCTATATTTTGGAAATCTTATACTCCCTCTGTCCCTGAATAAACTTCTCTATCGTTTTTTCCTTTGTCCCCAAAAAAATAAACTTCTCTTTTCCCTTAAAAAACCTCTTTTACCCCTTACTTTTTCATACCCTACCTATCACTCCATACCTTTTTACTAATAATCTACATATCACATCTTACTTTTACACATCACATCAAGGGTATTTTTGGAAAGTCAACACAAAAATTTCCCTTCCTTAAAATCCTCAAAAAGTCAAAAAGAGAAGTTTATTTAGGGACGGTGGGAGTATTTTGGAAATATCGATCTGTGATACACTTGGTGTACCTACACCAAACCTTATTGATTTGTAAAAGTGTGAAAATGGAGGAGATGAGTGTACTCACTAGGGTCGAGATGAGTGAGCATAGCGGTGGCATTGAAATAACACCTCCCCACGTCGCTGGGATTTTGAATATAGTAACTGTTGTATATGAAGGAAGTGGTTTTCCAGGCGCTGATGTTCTTGCAGACTCCATTGGGCCCCACCTGCCTGCAGTCAACGCTGCCCTCCGTGCAGGCCCAAGCCGTCGCCCGCTGGAGTGCATCCGCCGTCGCGTTCTCCTTTGCGACGCACCATGTTGCGCCGCCGGCGGGGGCTGGGGCGGGGGCGCCGCCGCGCATTTGAGCCCCACATAATGTCCAAAGTAGGGCGAAGAAAATGAAGGAGCAACCTTTGGACATATTCTTCTTCATAGATAGAGTAGAGTAGAGAGCTGGCTCTGAGTGAAACACCGCTAGCCTAGCGCTTCAATTGGTTTATACATATACTCCTTTCTCGCCCAAAAAAAAAAAAGCCTTTTGCTTTCTTAAATAAAAAAATTATTACTTCATCTACTTTTGGCACAAAAATTGGTTCTTTTAAATTACTTTTACAATCCAAGAAAAGAATGTGAAAATTAATATGAAGGGAAGAGTATTTCTTTCCATCGCTATTCAACTCATTCTCACTGACTACCCAATTACTTATAGGAGCATGCTACGTGTATATCAAAATTTGTGTCCCATTTGTACATCAAATATATGCACCGACATTTTGATGGTTCACACTGACTTAAAGTGTTGGTGCATTGACAAAAGTTTACACTGACACCAAGTATTGCTGTGTTAACAAAAATTAGCATTACACCAACACAAAATATTGGTGTACTCCTGTGGTGTACGAAATGGGGTGCAAATTCTTGGGTTCAAATAACTTTATCCTTACATAAATTCACCTTTTTAAATAAATATGTTTGATTCTTTCTAAACACAAAATAAGTATGTTTGATAATTTGTGAATTCTAATTAATTTATTTATGTCACCATAAATATCTCGTTTTTTGTCGATTCAAAAATTTTAGGTTACACTTAATTTCCTTTTTCTTTAGAAATAAGATATGTGCTTACTTTTTTTCTCTCTTTAAAGACACATTCTAACTAATAATGTGATTTTTTTTTATTTGTCAACAACGTTACGTTTTAAAATATTGTAAAGTCAAAAGATGAAATTACTTATGGGATGAATGGAGTAATACGAATTTGCGATATACTTTTATAATGTTCAACTCTAACTTTTAGGATTGGGTAGAGATAACTGGATTTGGTAATAAGACACTCGAACTGAACCACATTAAAAAATTGAATCCAATCGATTTGTTAGCTCAACTCAAGAGCTTATATACCGATCATTTTACTCTTGAACTTCTGATGTGGGATACACTTTAACATTATCAAATGTAGTCTTCAGAACCTTTAAAGTTAATTTGTCTTATTAAAAAATATTCAAAATTCTAATGTTAGGAGCAATTCTTTTATATTTATTTTTTTTCTATTCTTATTTGCCGCTTTCAAATTTTTGCTCATTATTCATTACCTTTCAAGTAATATAAAAACGTACTCCCTCCGTCCCAAAAAGATCTTCCTGTTTTATTTTTTGCGCATCCTATAAAACACTTCTATACACATCTAAAATGCCTAAAATTTACCACATTTATCATTTATTGTAAGTAGAAGTTGTTTTGAAATTTTTTTGCATTTGAGGCGAGATAGAAGTGTTTTATGAGACGCGCAAAAAATGAAATAGGAAGATCTTTTTGGGACGGAGGGAGTATGAAATATTTACACTAAATAGCACTAAAACTTAAGTGATTTCTCTAAATAGCATTTAAACTGTTTTATTCTCTAAATAATACATAATAATGTCTATATAATGTCCAGTGATGGGCTGATGGCAAACATTACTTCAATAATGACTAATGGATAACGACTAAAAGTGCTACATTGAAAAAAAACACATGTGATGCTATTTAGAGGAAGTTTATTTACGTAAATTTCCCAAAAAGTATTTGTGTGGCATATTTTATTTATCATTACTATAATGTGTACCGGTATAATAATTGTGATTTAATCTGTCTCTAAGATCCCGTTGGACAATAGCATTAGAGGTTAGTATTTTTGGTGTGTACGGGTATTATAATTGTGATTTAGTTTGTATTTAAGGTCGGTTTGACAACAACATTATAAGGGCCTGTTCTTTAGAGCTTGAACTCTTAACTTCCAGTTTCTTCCAGTTCCTTCCAGTTCTTTCCAGTTCTTTCCAGTTTCTTCCAGTTCCTTCGAGTTCTTTCTAGTTTCTTCTAATTTCTTTCAGTTCTTTCTAGTTTTTCAATTTTCTTCCAGTTTCTTCCAATTTTTTCTAGTTTTTTCCAGTTTTTTCTAATTTCTTCCAAATATATTTATTTTCTTCAAATCCTTTCTACTTTCTGACAAACCACTCTAAAAAAATTTGTATTATTATTATTATTACAACTTTTTTTAATTACAACTTTTATGTTCATAACTATAGTTTATAAATTATTTCATTTTTTCATCTCACTATTTTTATGATTCACATTCATTATTATTTTTTCTTCAACTTTTTAATACGAATAATATTGTTTTTTATATTAATCTACATGAAAAATTAGGAAACTATTTAAAAAATTATGGATAAATAGTTATATAGAATATTTTTTAATCTAAATTTATATAATGTAAATATCAATATTTTAATCTAAAATATAAGCTATGGAATGTGGTGGGGACTGGGGAGTACTACATTATGAAAACCAAGAGAAAACTACATTTTGAAAAAGAAAAAATGACCCAAGAAGTGTAATATTTATGCTAATTTTATATTCTAATTATTTTTTTAAACTAGCTTTTTATATATGAAAAATAATACTCGTAATATTTTTTTTAATTTTAAAGACAATCATTAAGATAACGTGATAACACTACCATTACCACCACCACCACCACCACCAACAACAACAACAATAACAACGACAAACACAATAATAATAATAATAATAATAATAATAATAATAATAATAATAATAATAATAATAATAATAATAATAATAATAATAATAATAATAATAATAATAATAATGAAAATAATAATAATAATAATAATTTATAACAAAAAGAATCAGAATGAGAATAATATAAAATCACAGATAAAAAATTTTTTAAAACTTTTTTTAGATTTTTCAATTTTTTCTAGTTTTTTCAGTTTCTTTTAATTTTTAATTTTTCCAGTTTCTTCCAGTTCCTTCCCGTTTTTTCCAGTTTCTTCCCGTTTCTTCCAGTTTCTTCCAACATCTAGCTCTTTTTTTTCAATCCTAAAGAACAAGCTCTAAGTTAGCATTATCATTTAAAGTGCTATCCCGAAAAAAGTGCCCTGTCTGATCTACGTAATAGACACGGCACGGAAGGTTGTTTCATATACTAGCTGTTACTTGTGTTTTTAAAAACATGTCAGAGATGAGCGAAACTGATTCAAACTTTAAAAAAGACCTTAGGCCATGCAGCAGGTAAAATGCTTTACTTTTACACAAACTTTATTGGGGATCTTAACAACCTTTTTTTATTGTTTATAGAGCAAATTCCATAAAAGAGGTCTTTAGTTATAAATCGTTTTATATATTTAGTTCTTACTTAAATATTACTAATTTAGTCTTCAATTATTATATTCATTTTCACGAATGGTCCTTTGTTAACATTTCCGTTAAGAACGTGGATAAAATTGTAAATTCACACTCCTTTCTCTTCTCAATTAAGCTTCCTCTTCCTCTCGCTTCCCAAACCCGTCGCTGAGTTTGAAGCTTTGAACCCAAAACCGAAATCATCACTCTTCTCTCAATTGTTTGTCTAACTGGTGGAACCCAAATTCGAAACCAGTAACCTTCATGGATGATGAGTTTTAATGTTTATTTTCTTTGCAATTTCTTGAGACTAACCGATAAAACTTATCCATAAAGCTTATTGATTTTGATTTTAAGTTCCATCAGGAAGACTAATAATTGATAGTGGAATGATCATTTCAGTTTTGTGTTTAGAGCTTCAAACTTAGTGACGAGTTTGGGAAAGAGTACGAGAGGAGGGAGGAAGCTTAATTGAGGAGAGAGAGAGAAGTTTGAATACACAATTTTATCCATGTTCTTAACAAAAACATTAACAAAGGACCATTCGTGAAAAATGATATAATAATTGGAAACTAAATTAGTAATATTTGATATGTGTAGTGACTAAATATGTAAAACGACCTATAAGTGGGGACCTTTTATGAAATTTACTCTAACAGAACTGTTAACAAAGGACCATTCGTGAAAAATGATATAATAATTGGGGACCAAATTAGTAATATTTGATATGTAGGGACTAAATATGTAAAACGACTTATAACTGGAGACCTTTTATGAAATTTACTCTTGTTTATATTTTTAATTTATATTTCCATTTTTATGCTTTGACTATTTCAAAGTTACTAGATTCCTACCGGTGCTTTGCACGGGAGGAATATATTTCCTAATTTTTGATTTACGGAGAGACAATTCAGACAAAATAACGACTAATTGAGTTACGAATTCCATATTCAAAATGTGTGTTGTTTTGTTTGGTAAGCCCTTGGATGATTTTATGCATTCGAAAATTTGTATAGTTGTGAAAAGGTCTAATTTTTAAATATAATAAAAATATTTACATATTTTCTTGCATTAATTATTTTCTGGACTAAGTGTTTTATAGTTGAGTTAAATATTATCTAACTTAAATTCTGTAAATGAGTAAATAAAAGAAAGTATTTTGAAATGGTTAAATCATTTTTTAGTAGCTAAATTTTTGATCTTCTCTAACCGATATGGAGTATGACTTTTTAATTGTGCTTCACATCAAATTTTTAAATTTACCTAAATTATAAAAAATAAAAAAATAGAGTTTTCTTAAAAATGACTAAAAGTCAAGCCAGAAAATTTTAAAAATAGAGTTTTCTAACCATTTACTACGTAATATATCACTCAGAGTATAATGAGTTTCCAAAAAACAATTATTAGAAGAATTTGTTCCATCAAATATGCAAGAAATTTAATGAAAGTGGAAGCAATCATAGCTTAATCTTGAATCTTTTTTTTATCTCATTTGGTTACAGTTTTTTTAAAATCTTAAATTTTATGTACTCTTTAAAATTATAAATTTTTAATGTATTTCAATCTTATAATGTTCATGATTACTTTTTAGTTTTTTCAAACTCGAATTTAACCACAATTAAACCGACCAAATCCAAAATGAGAAAATAAATATCTAAAATCAACACACCAAAATCAAATCTTAATCCAAACTAAGTTGTTAAGATTTCAATATATTCAAACCCACCAGCTCATTTAAGCCTCTTAAAAAACATAATTCAAATTAACTCCCCAGCCCATTTATACTTACCCGACCCAACACAACCATTCAACCCAACCCACTATTAAAATCTAATTATATTTTCTACCCTAACTTATATGCTTCTCATATCCCTTCTGCCATCCCTCTCATTCTCCCCCTCATCTTTCCTCTTTCTATATCACCGCGCTGTCGCGCCGTCGAGCCGGAGATGATACACGTTATTTCATTTCTATGAATTGGATGTAAGATTTTTA